CTGATTGTGCAATATTTGTTTACAGCTTTCCCAGAGGCAGATGAACAGGTCTGTGAACTAGTACTGCCATGCACTGTTCAAGTTCACTCAATCCAATCAACTATCTTGGAGTCACATTAACCATCAAAGATAGGCAGAACTGGTTAACACATTCATATAATGCAAGAGGTTAAAAGGCCCTGAGGCACTGCAGCTCTTCATCTAAATCCAAGCTACAGGATATGCCAAAAGTTTGCTTTAGAGATGCAAAATAGTGAAAATTTCTCATTGAAGAAATGCAAACTGTATACTCAACATTCTCTCACAGTAAGCTAGTTATCCTAGTGTTTGAGAAAGAGGATAGTAATTTCACAACAAAGAGAAAGGTGTTCATTCTTAAACTGGTACAGATTCTCCTCTTATTCAGCCAGTAAAGACAAAAGGAAATAACATTTTTTCTTTCTTTCCTTTGCCCGCATTTTGATTCCAGATGTTGGGAAGAAGTAAGAGACAGTGAGGAAGAGCTTAGCTATTTTCTAACCAATTCTGCAGAAAGAGATACAAAATTTGGAACTCACATGCTGTTCACGTGCACAGTCATATTATGGAGGACACACACATAGTCAAATTAAGCAATGGTGAGAGGAAGAATAAAGTAATACTATGCCCAGCAGGCAGACTGATATCAAAACCATCCAGTATAGTTCTAAGACAGGTAAGAAGGTCAGCAAGTTTTGAGTGTGAATAGTAGCACATATCATTTTAGTCCTGCTCTTTTCTCCTTCCAATATCTAGAATCCTGAGGAAAAAGCCTAAACTGCAAGAGTATTCCAAGTGCTGCACCATTTTTGAAAGCCTCCACGACACAGTGTCATGGCAAATGCATCTCAGGTCCAAATGCACCTCAGCTACTCCAGCTCTCCAAGAGTGTGCTCAAATCACATCCACTGATTTCATCTTGGCACAACCCCAGCAGGTCCTGATGCAAGCACGTAGCAACAAGACAACCTGGGAGCAGATACTGCTAACCACCTCAGCTGTTACTGAAACAAAAAGCTTTGGGACTTCTTAAAGGGCACAACTTTGCTCAAACAAAATAACAGAATACACATGGGACGTAGGTGTAAAAGACTGAATTTTGTGTGTGTGTGTGGTTTGGGAAATGATGTTGGAACTGGGCTACTCCAAACGCAGAAGCCTTGCTAAGAGAACACTAGCATGTACACAAAGTTGGATCTCCTCCAGAAGAACAAGATATGAAGGCTTGATTTTTTTTCAGAATTAAGGGAAATGTGATCTTGACTCTTCCCATTCATTAGCTGCCAACAAAGTATACATGATTTGTGGTTGTAAATAAGCAAGACCTGACTTAATCTGGAGCAATGGGATAGATGTTGCTTCTAGGGATATATACAAACTACAGCAAGAAATTTTAGTAACAGTTGTTAATTCTCTAGTAACAAAGTCATTTCGTATCTGAGTGTAAGCAATTGGAAGGCATGGCTGTATGCATCATTAGTGCACATTTGCACTGCACAATCAGTGTCAAAATGCTGGTAATTATTATCAATAGAAAATACAATGTCCCTAAGCTTTCCAACTGCTACAAGTAGGTATTCATGTTGAGCTAGCCAGTATAGATACACAAAGTCTTAAAAACTCATGTCTTCTAAGAGTGTCCTGTTTATAGACCCTCTGTCAACAGGACTTGGATATAATGTAAAATATTCGCCAGGGGACAAGATGTGAGCAACTCTAGAGAGCTACATTTAATAAAATCATAACGTATTAGTAATTTGTCCTTTGAGATCCAAAATCCTCCACTCTCAGTGTTACTGATGACAGAGTGGTTCCATCCTACAAGACTTGTTTTTTGAAAACTCATCAAGACAAAACCAGCCTAAGACAGTACAGATGAATCTGCTCTCTTTAAAGCAAGATGAAGTAGTCTACGATGCAGAAAATAAACCTAAAGGCTGCTGCAGTGTTACCCCAGTCATACCCCAGCACGTGAACCTGGGGGCCAACAGCTTGCTTTTTCAGACATAGAGACAACAGTTTCTCTGAAGAAACTTGGATTTTTTTGATTTTTGAAGAAAATTTGATTTTATTGTTTAGCAACCAGGCTTTCAGTTTGGGTAAGGAAATCTGCATATAAGAATAAAATGAAAGAAGAACCTAATGGATTAGTTAAGACCTGGGAGAAGACTTCTCTTGGTGGAGAAATTTTAAGACTTTTCTTACCAGTAAAGACAGTAGACTCAAGCCTCCAATATGGCAATATTCCAGCCCACTGGGAATTCTGGGGCTCAGTAACAACCAGCAAAGCTAGGATTAGGAATAAAAATTCTGAAAATACACCGAGACTACATAACATCAAAAATCCAGGTCAGAAGAAGTTGCAAAACAGTGGAAAGTCCAAGTCTGCAAATTAGAATTTCAGGAACAAACCAAAAAAGCTCACTGCTTCACTGGCATTTCTCAAGTTTCTGCTTTTTTTTTTGTTTTTTGTTTTTTTTTGTTTTGTTTTTGTTTTCCCCACTACTCTGGCTTACAATGCTGACTGAAGTTAGGGTCAGAATTTCAAATACAAAACAGAACTTATTCAAACATTCCCAACCATCTTCTAAGACAAGAAAAGTGTATGGCATGATTATTCTGAGGAATAAGTAGAGAGATCATTCTTTTAAGAATAGCAGTCCACCTGTCATTGGTCAGTAGATTTGTGGACAGAAAGGCAACTTTTCTTTCCTCAAAGAAACTCAAGTTGTGTCAGAATTATTGGGAGCTCTGGACCAAATTGATCTATTTGCTCATCAGGAACAGATGTCCCCATTTCTCCTTTCAGGCTTCTGAATCAGTTATGTAAAATACAAACCTAACCCAGAAGGTACACTGCACGTGGGCATTACAAACATATTCTACACCTGTAAGATGGTAAAACATGTTCCATTCAGTTCAAACACAGATGCATTTTTGCCTTCGTAGGGTTCATGAACAAAGAAGGAAAATCCTTACACCAAAAGGCAACCACACAAGGCAAGAAATAATAGAAAATAAGAACCAGTAGAAGTTTAAAGAAAGGGGGGGGGAGTGGGAGGGGGAGGTCATTGCCAAAAGAGCTAAGGAAACCCTCTGTTCAGTATAAAGCTGAGAGAAAGTGATGGCATGAGACAAGCTCTACCCACATACACTATGTCTATGCTTTATGTGGAGCACACACACATCTACCATTTTTCTTGGTGTTTAAAATCTCAGCTCTTTCTCTCCATTAATTTCTGAGAATTTTTACACTTTCCTAAATTGAAGATTTTAGGTGCTAATATGTCAGATAACTGAAAGGTGGAAATCCTTATTTCCCATCCTAAATTCAAGTGACCTTGGCTAGTTTTATTTAGTAAAGTGCAAAGCTCAAGTTATGCTTTGCAAATAGGCCAGTAGCACCACATGAAATCATATCAGTGAGTTCAGATTAATTAGGAGCATGGAAAGAACAAGACTGTGTTGCTTGGAATATATAATGAAGGCAGCCTGCAGTCTATTCAGGCACTCATTATTAATTATTCGATTGTCATTTAATAGTTCATACTGGATGTTGTTAGGCACCAAATTATAACAGAAAAGAAACAAAACAGCTAAGGTGTTTTCTAAATAGACTACAAGCTGATTAGTTTAAATTAGTCTATTTTTTAAAAGTCTTAATATACAGGCAGAGAAATAATATAAGCAAGAAATATGATAGCCCTTACCTTAGTTTCCATAAGACAAGTTCACTGCATCAACTTGTCTCTCCGGTTTTTGGACATTTTACTACAGAATTACATTACCTGATTCATATCAGAACATAAACAACTTCAGATTAATAATTTTATTATGTTCATAATATGAACTAGGTTAACTGCTAGTCAGGTACTCCTAAAACTATAATTTGATAAATTACATTTTAAGGCTTATCAGATTTGATGAGAGACCTAACACAGGTGGTGCGATGAGCAGGTACACATCCCACCACTGAACAGCAGGTTGTTTGGCAGACATTTCTCAGCTGAAACAAATGCAATAACCTCTACCTTGGAGCAAGTGTTTTATTTAAAGGGGGAAAGTTCAAAAGGTGTTTAATTCCCAGAGAGTGATAATTCTGAAACTGTCTGTTTTGTTCCAAGGTCTGCAGGAAATACCTTCCTGACATATCAGGTCAATTGACCTTTCCTCTCCAGATACCCTTTGCACATTGAAATAAATCTCACAAGAGAAAACACCAGAGATGTGAAAACAATAAGCCTATTTTTGCTGAACATTGTTGACAGGCATACAAACTCAATTTTCAATTTTACATGAGAGTACTTATGTCAATAACCTGGACAAATAAAATAAGTGCCATTAAAAAAGTATTTCTATTTATTATCTTCAGGTAAGGAGAGCACACACACAAATTCTCTCTAAAGGATACTGGTCCTACTCACAGGAATTTCTTTAAACTCTAAATACTTTAGATCATAGAAGAACTATCTCGGAGTGTTTCTGGGAGTTAATTTCACAAAAATAGAAAATGGCATCCTAATACTGTTTTCTTTTGCAGACAGAAACAGGCAGAAACATCAATCTAACTTTAGGCCAGTTTATTAATGATAACCACCCACACATTCCTCACAGTTACTGTTTCTTACACATTACAAACCATAGCTGTAGCCAATCCTTTGCAGCTTTTCAAGTTACTTAGTAAGGCTACATAGAAAAGGTCTTCTCTTTTACATTACATACGTGAGCAAAACCAGTATATTTACTTGGAAGAGAGTATCAATGTCATAGGGAGACATCGTTTACTGAACAGAGAAAATAAATGGAAGAAGTTCCATCAAAGCTACTCTTCAGTGCAAGGACTAAAAATTAAGGAAAAGAATACACTGGTTATTGCTTTGCCTCCACCAGCCCTACCATGAAATTGTCATATCCTTTTAAAGATGTATCTGGCACTCTGTAAAAGGAAAACCCACAAACACCCACAAGAAAAAAGTACTCACACTGTTTGGGTGTTGAATGGCAGCTTCGTGCTGCAGTCTAACCCGCTGTGGCATCATCACATCATCCTGGAATAAATAGCACACTGTTACTGAACATAAAAAGGGTCACAGTACAGCACTCAGACACACATTAGAATATGCTGCTAAGTTAACATCATTTTACTGGCTTGTAGTCAGAAATATAATGAGAGCAAATATTGAGAGACTTCATACTTTCAGTGGATTAAACTCAATCTTGTTCAAATTGGAAGTGATCAAAACTACTGACAACTGAGCCATGATCTCAACATCTTAAGAGCACCCACACATTTTACATTTCTAAAGAAGTTCACCACCTCCGTAAGAGTGGCAGTGTGTGTGGACAAGGAACTAAACTTGATTAAAAGCATGAGATTTGAAACATTATAGTACTACGAGGAATTGTTCTTTGTAGTCTGGCTACACCTTGTTTCATTGATAAGGAAAAGCCTTCAGTCTTGCACAAGTCCAGCAACTTTCACTTCAGAATTCCAGCCAAATCAATGGCAACAAAAATATATTAGTGCTTAAATATCTAGACCATAGAGGGTTGAATGACCTTGATATAAAGGTGACTCTATAGTTTTTATCAAAAACAACACAAGGATGAAAAAAGTTTTAGAAGTAGATCCAACTATTAAATACAATTCAAGGTTAGAGATAAAGAAATACTAAAACTGACCCTTATCACACAAGCTTACAAAAGATGTAAGGAATACACTGTCAAAAGCATGTTTCTGTATTTTGTATTTAGGATTTATATAGTAATAAACAAAAGAGATGTTCTGATTTTTAAAGCCAATAGAGTGAAAGAAACCTCTCTGATGTCTCAGGCTCTATACATCAGTTACTTCAAAAATACAATTATATTGTTTACTTTATCAATAAGGCACCAGAAAATTCAGGTACTGTATCAGACAAATGTTCCAAAAACCTTTTAGGCTATTTCCCATAAGAACCAAAAACATATTTCACGCCAGATAGAGAGCTGTTTTTTTAAGATTAAGACCTGGTTTTCATCTAAACAACAGGAAATGTATTTTAACTGAGCTTTGTTTACTCTGATAAAAATCACTTACATTTCTTAGATGTCCTGTTAGAGCCCTAAAAAACAAGACTGTAAAAGAAATCTATCAAAAAGCAAAGAATTTCAATGCTTAGAACAATGCAACTGTTATCTTTTATAACAGACAACATAAGCCCTTGTAGTAAAAGCTTCCACCACTTACGATCCTGCACAACAGAAATAAATCTAACAGGACTTGAACATTCACAAAGATGAAAGATAATCTACTTGATTTTAAAAGGTTAAATCAGCATAGGAGTATTCAAACCAAATTCAAATATCCTATTCACCAACCAGGTCAATGTTCTATTTTTATAACCAGACAACTTGACAGGAAAGGTCTAGTTCCCCCTAACAAAACACTTTGTCATTTTGACGCTATTGGCAAAACTAACAAGTCTACGGATTTGGGTCTTAGGCTATCACCAAGATCATCAGTATTCTGAAAAACCCAGCTGAAGAGGGGGCACTGTGACCTCAAAAACTTCAAAATGCCTTTCATTCTTCTTTCCCCCATACATTTTTGTTCTCCACTGCTGGAAAACTCAATGAACTCTTAACCCGAATGAATTATCTTTTTTTTCATGATTTTGTCTTTGGCTATTTTGGTTTTGCTTTTTTAATTAACAGTATGTATGATGAACTGCTGAATAGTTCTGTGATACTTTCCAAGTTCATGGAAGGAGAAAATAAGAAAAAAAAAAAAAAAAAAAAAAAAAAAAAAAAAAAAAGAACATATGTCTTAGTTTAAGACAAAATCCCAAATACAGCACAAAATAGAATCACATCCCAGACAAAACTGAGTCACATCAGTCATTAAGCTTTTTAGACTCAGGCTGGGAACTACACAATAAAGTTAACTACAAAACCCAGCTTCAGTGTTTAACAGATTCTTTACTACTGTGTTGCCAGAATTTGGTTTCTGCAATCAACAGCTTGGTCCTCTTTTTTGTTCTAAAACTGAGAGCAAAACCTCAGTAATTAGACAAACATTTTCTAAATTATTTTTCACTCATGTCATGTCAGACAAAAAAGTAGCAATCTGAATGTAGCTGTTGCCAAAAGGGAAGTATATTTCATTTGTTTCTGTCTCCTAGGTGCAAGCAGGGAAGAAAACAAGGCTAAATAATTAATTACTCTGAATATGTAATTTTAAAAAACAGAAGTTTAACAGATGTTTCCACTGAAATTCAATTTCCCTCTTAACATGGACGTCTGCAATGGTTGTCCCCTAGTAGAGATAATTCAGACAGATTTCCCCCACTGAAAGAGAATTTAAAGTCAATGCTAGATAAATGCATGCCTTTATTAAGGATATACTTGTAATATGATGGCTAAATGAAAAGGAATTTGTAAGTAGATCTATTCTCATGTGACCCCACTCACCAAACTTTGTAGAAAATTTAAGAAAAATCTCAGGTAACAGCTGGGTTCACTGTCAACTACATCTGCACACACATGCAATGCAAACAAGGCCTAACAGGTAAACAGCAACAAAAATAAAGCAACATAAATAGAAACTTAGTTTAGGCACTCAAAGTGACCCAGAAGGTATAGGAATTTTGTTGATTACAAACATGCTTTCTGTGCTCCAGTGTCCATTCCGAGTAGGAAAACAATTTGCTGAAAGATGGGAGAATGAAAAGGACTTTATTTCACATGAAAAGCCAGCAGGGATTTCTAAACAAGCCCAGATGTGTTTCTGCCAGTGGGGGGCCATGATCTCTATCACCTTTCAGTTCCACAGACATTCTGCCTGTTTGTGTTCCTATCACATCCACCCCTTCTGCAGAAAGCTGGCTTGCTCCTGTCAAGTTCCACCCAGCTTACAGATGCTGCCAAATCAGCAGAGCTAGTTATACAACTATCAGCTGAGTTGTTTTCCTTCCAGCCAGAGGCACCATTCTTTATAAAAACACACACCATTTATACTGAGCTAATTGTTTTGTTTTACTTTACTCCTATGTTTAGTGGAAGAAAAGGAAAACTAAGTCAGTAGACTGAGTTTAGGGATACTACTCAAAACTGTTGTTGCTTCAGTACATGTTGCTTAAAACAATTTGGGTAAACTCAGATGACAAGCATTCACTGGCCTCTTCAACCAGGCCATCAGGACTACACTGAACTCCACAGTGATAACTTGATTCTTCCCTTAAAAGAGGGGGTTTTTGCACTCCAGAAAGTAATAAAACATAGAACTCAAAGTGCAATATGCACTTTTTAAAAACAAGATACTGAATATAGCTCAGTATTGAACTGCTTTCTTAAGCTCTCATTACAGCCTAAGCATCATAAGCTTTTGCGAATTCCTTCTCAAAAAAAAGGTGAGCTGACACACTCCATCCTCACAATAAAAGCACCTTCTTTCCACTGCAGCTATTACATCTAAAATACAACCTGTAGCAACACCAGGAGGAACATTTGGAGATGCTATGCTGTTTCAATCTTGTCTTTCAATCCATCAAGTGGTCATTCATTTATCCTGCACCTGCTCAGACTACAGTGAAATTCCTTGCTATTGTTCAGTTCAGCTCCTTGAACCAGGGAAGTAAAAGGCCTGGGACCTCCAAAAACTGGCCTGTCAGCAGCACCATCAAAGCAAACACACTGATCCTAGGCAGGTTTTTAAAGCAGCCCCACATTATTAATCACATTAGAACTCTGATTGCCACAGACAAGTCACCTGAGCAGAAGACATCCTAATGATTTGTCTGTACTTGCAAGATCCTAAGAAAAAAAATACTCCTTTTCTGTTTCTACTTCTGATTTAAATGGACAAAGAAGGGGACAACAAAGAAAATACTTCAAAGTTTAAGCTGACTTGATTGAGCACATTTCTTGTCCTGAGCATGGCAACAAAAAGGTGTACATGGGAGGATATACTTGGTGTTCTTATGCACGTGAATGACTAGCACCTCCCATCAATATAAAATTAATTACAATCTTTATACAGAATCTTTTAATTCAGCTCTTAATTGATCAGAAAATGTCTCCTGTCAAGGCAGCTCCCACCTTGGTGCATTTGTACATCAAATTCAGTCATGTGCCTCTCCATATCTAGCTCCTCTGCAGTCACTTGCAGATCACCCAAGATCTTCCTCACAATTACATCACTGGAAAAGTGCATGAGTGTCTGCAGGCAAGGGAAACAAGGAACTCACCAGGTGTTCAACAGCAAAGGCAGTGAACTCATACAAGAGTAAAATCCTCACTGTCAATTCCAAACACCTACTTTAACTAATAAATAGATGAAGGTATCTGCAGAGAGAGGGTATGGCAACCAGATTCTGAATGTTTGCTTCTTAATTTATGAAATTAATTAACATAATCAGATTTTTAAAATAATAATTTAAAAAATGAAATGTTTCTAATACATGGACTTCTTCACAGGAAAAAAAAACCCAAAAGCAATAATGCCTGCAAAATACTCATTGATTTTTAGGTGCTCATTAGTGTTTCAGAAACATATACAACTCTTTGGACAGAGGAAGCCTCTGATAATGGAGTTCATCACTAAACTCACTTACCTGCTATTTGAGTAACAGTTTATTTCAGTTTTTAAATCAGAAGATTAAATTTGCAAGGAATGGTATGTTAAAATAACAGCAAAAAAACCAAAAGCATGAAGTCTGACCACTGCTTTATTTCCTAAGCTATACAGTTGTCAGCTTCAAAGAAAGGAATAATATTTTAAAAGTTTGTTAGTGTCTGTAATGTATAATGGCAACTAACAATAAATCCACCTTTCCAAAAGCAGCAAGTTATGGAAACTGTAAAATCAAGCAGCTGTGTTTATAATGGAAAGCCAGCTTGAAGGCTGGAGTCCCTGAAATATCTAGCAAGTCTGGTTCGCTAAGGTCCAGCCACCTTCTTCCAAGACCTTTATGAATACCCCCTCAATACAGTGTTTTTAAACTTAAAACTCAAGAAAAGCATGCAATTTCACAGCAATTAAGAATTAACATTCTCAACTCCTAGCCGCCAAGCTCACAAACGGAAGGGCACAGCCCAGCAGCTGCCAGCTCAGCCATGGGAATGCTGATTCCTCTGGCCCACCCTCACTTGTGGTGAAGAAAACTGAACTGTTTCCCCATGTCATTTTCAACCACTAGCAAGCAGTGCCCCCATGACAACGAGGTTTAGAGTTACATCTTTGAACTGGTCAAGAATCTCAGAAACAGCAACTCATTGCCAACAGAGCCTTTCAAAAGACTAAAGCAAGTGTTTCAAGGACTCACAGAGTCTCAGAGTGGTTGAGGTTGGAAGGGATCTCTGAAGATCATCTAGTCCAACCTCCCTGCTAGTGCAGGATCACCTATATTAGATCACTCAAGTGAGCATGGCAGGGTTTGAAATACTGCAGGTCAAAAAAGGACACGTTTTTATATTTCTTCTTTAACAGTCAGGAACCCTCCAACAACACACTGATTAAGTCTGAAATAATGAGACATGACACAGATTATTAGAATGAAATGAAAATATGTTCCTTTGTAAAGAAATACAGTTATAGAAGTACAGGCACATTTAAGTGAATGTCCATGAAAATAGCAGTTCACAGCAGAAAATGGAATTTTTAGTGTAAGAATCTTGCTGTGCTGCAACTGGGTAAATTATTGTAATAAAAATGGTAACCACCCCAGAGAACCAACTAGCTAAGGTTACAATAAAATTCAACCAGTAGGTAAAGTAACTGCAGACAATTTGAAGAAGAGTAACAGTGAAATGTTTTTGCAGAATTAATTAATTATATTGTCATTATGACCATGATTTTCTGAAGCTATAAATGTTAAATATGAACAATTTGTATTGTATCTTCAATTTTTTACTTGTTTTCCTGGTGGGAAAAACGCCTCAGTAGCTTAGAGGTGCAATCTGTAACAACAGCCACAGCAAAAAAATCTCCAGAATAGTTATTAGTCAAACAGCTGCCACTTCATACTAGAATAGGCTGATCAAATTCTGACAGATCTGAGCTCTGTAAACTTTTTTTCCACATTTCTTCCCAATTTGTTGTCCTCACAAATCTGTGTTGAGAGACAGAACACAAGCAGCTTGTCTCCAGCTGGAATGGCAAGCAAAACAGACTCTCTGGAGCCAGTACTTTCAAGGATGCTCCTGAATATGCTTGTACATTAATTTAACTCAAAGAAGTGAAATGAATGTATAAGGAGCCACAAGATATTTGTTAACCTATATGAAATGTATACAAGCTACTGATCCAGTCTCATTTCTCTCCACATGCACCTATAGCAAACCTGAAATGATGGCAGTGCTTCTGAAGGTCAATTCCCTGGCATTACTGCAGCACATTCCAAAAAGCTGATATCAACATTCCTTCCTAGAGAGCTTCATACTGGATTGGTGACTGAAATGAAGAAGGTAGGTGGTGTGTAGAAGCAGAGCTGTTAAACAGCTGGCAACATCTGTGTCTCAGCTATTATCACACCACATTTACTAACTACAGCCAAAATATTGAGCAATTTTGAGAACTGCAGCAGTTTCCACATTTGTTTTATTTCCTCTGATCTCTTCTCAGAAAAAAATGACACTCACAAGGAGAGGCAGCAGAAAATACATTTAAGTAATGCCAATCACTTAGTGTTTCTTTTGTCTCAAGGCTAGGTTTCTGTTTTGAAGCATCTAGCTCACTAGCAGGAATAGAAATGTGTAGAACAGAAAATCTTGCTAGTTTATTCCAAGCTTATCCTCACGGTAAGTCATTAAATTCTCAAATGCCTTTGTGTAGGTTTTATTATATTAAATATAAACTTCTGCTAATTACAATATTGCAGAAACCCCAAATCATCACCTGTTACATTCCTTAGCCATTGTAACTTGTTTCCCTGATGTTTTCTTATCCTTCATAGCTACACATCAAATAGAAACAACACAGCAACATGAAGTTCCATACTGTATAAACACCGTAAGTAAACAGCAAATTAAGGATTTTAAAGAAACCTCTATAAAGATACTAATTAATTTAATTAAAAGAATTTGTATTTCTGCCTTACTGCTCGTGATTTACAAACAACTAGATTCATCTGCATTGTAAAGAAATAATCCAAAATTTAACTCTACTAGTACATTATTCTGTATGGATTTGAGAGAGAAGATATGAAGCTCCATAGAACAAGAGAACAACAGGTTAATTTGTCACTCGTAAATACATGGACTAAGGTAACTAAAGTCAACATAATTATGTATGTAACTCATCCTACGTACTCCCTAGAATGCCCCATCCAATGCGGTATCTGCCCAAGTCTGGAATACCCAAACTCTGCAAAACATAAATAAGATCTTTCTTTTTTTTATTTATTTTAGATATGTAAACAGTTTATCTGACTCTCAATATAGGAGAGTTAAATCCATGGAATCAGTCATATAAATTAAATTAACTCTTGGGTTTGTGTCAAGCAAAAGGAACTCTATCCTGACTCCAGCTCAACAAAACTGGCATCACTCCAGTCACTTCATGGCATAATTTATCATGTTCATAAAAATCTGGTGAGTCAGGTGATTCAGAGCAGTGGATTTTGTGCTCATGCTTCCTCAAAATAATCTGGTTACAAATCAGACACTACCACTCAGTGCTGGATATGAAATACTTTTTTTTTTGATGTATGAGCAACTGACCTTTCCAAACACAATTAACTGGTATATGTAATTGTGAGTTCTGTGTATCCAACAGATGTTCAAGATTTCATTTCTGAAATGCCCATACACAGCTATATGTATCAGATATTGCATTTCAAAGCTTCATCTTCCATAAACATATACAAAGATTTACATGAAATACACTCTGTAAAACAAACAAAACCCACAGCCAAACTGGTAAAGTGAAACTAGGATAAATTCAAATAAACTCATTTAAAAAGGCATGCTGTTTTGCTAAATACAGTAATAACTTAGTAAAAAAAAATAATGAAGACCAGGAAAGCCACCTGCAAAACTTAAAGTTTCTTCAATGATTACATAAGACATTCCTGCTGCATTGCCTTAGGTCAGAAGAAATCTACCAGTCCTTAACCATGTCCTGCAACAGTACAATGACTAATTCACAACATTTAACATACACATGAACAAATCCTTCTGCCTAGTTGACACAACAAATGGAGATTGCAAACCAAAAGATCACCCAAATTAAAACCTGTGTCATTATAAGGGTATAGAGTTTACATCCCTGCTCTCATGACACTTTCTAATAAGCAAAGAGAACCATAACATTAAGTTGAATCCTACCTGAAAACCTACACTTCCAGCACCCATTCCTCCTAGTGCTACACTAAACCATAGTTCAGTTCCAGTTCACAGGAAAGAACCAATCTTAAGGTGAAATTACATGAGATCAGTGAGCCTTAAAGGTCCTGCTCTTCTTGCCTGATCCTAGCCACATGGCACCACTTCTCAGATCAGCTATGCACATTTGTGAAACCCTCCACTGCAATATTAAGCTGCATGAAGTCAGATAGTTATCTGTGGGTAAGGGAGCTGAAAGGGTTCACAGAAGGTATCCAACAAAGGACAGGAAAAGAAAATTCAAGATGGAAGGTGAGACCTCTCCTATTTTGCATCAAAAAGGCATTAGATTAGCTCTTAGTTTCTCATCAATAAAATTTTCTGAAGAATGGGGTAAAGAAAAATCCTGAAAACACCTGAATACCAACCTGGTCCAACTCTGCTCACAACAGCTTGTGAAATCCAATAGAATCAAATAATGGTGTGAAGCTGTAGGTTTTTCTACAGGTTGGAAAGCAGCTACACAGCTATAAATAGCAGTCAGCATGTTTAACACCCAAATACCTTTAAACAGCTTGTCTTTAAGGTAAACCAGAAACTATATTAAAACCAAAAGAATTTTATTGATGAAACTGAGTTAAACAAAACTCATTAACTTACTGAATCCAGGAAGCAGAGATAGGTTCCTGAGCTCTGCATTACTGCTTGATTTTTAGCAAATCCAACTGTTGAGAAAACAAAGATAAATTATGTGGTAGTTTTGACCTCTGTATTTTTTTAATCTTGCTACAGTCAGGAACAGATGAAAGGAAAGTAAAAAAAATAATATCAGGTGAAATATGCAATTTTTCCATATCTAAAACGAGGTAATTTGTAAATATTTTAATGGTATGTCTGTTTCAGTCTTCTTCTCTGAGTGATTATCAGTTGTATGTTCTCCACTTGGATGCGTTCCTGTGTGATGTACTCTAGGTGACCCTGCTCTGGCAGGGGGGTTGGACTTTCGAGGTCCCTTCCAGAAAGTCTACCACCAAGTAGAATTAGATGTTTGCTAACCCTTCGCAAAGTTGTGAGAGTCCAGCCACTCAGGTTTCACATCCAGTACCTCAGATCACAGAATGGTTTAGGTTGGAAAAGAACCTTAAAGGCCTTCTAGTCAAACCCCCCTGCAATGAGCAGATGCTGAAAACCCTTGGCTGTATATATATACTCATGTCTTAAGACATAACAAAGAGAAAAAAAAATATTAAAAAGACAAAGAAGGAACAAGAGATCACTAGGCAACTTGTCCTCCCCATCAGAGGACCAGATCCTCAGAAGCACAAAAAAAAGTTCTGTTCCATTATGCTTCATATGCAAATACCAAAACTGCATGTGCCATCAATGCAATGGCACATGTAACTCAGAGGGGAGCCAAAGTGGAAGAACGTATGGACAAGGAGTACAAACCTGGCCCATTTATACCACACCATGTTACACCACCTGTGGAAGACCACACTGAAATACAAAATCAGTCAAAGTACAACACTGGTATCTAAGGTCTTTTAGTTTCTGACCCTCTGACACTTGTTGAATCTGTTACCAAGCCACTGCAGGAAGTCAAACCAGAAGAAAACTTTTTTGTCAGCTTAATTTCTGAAGCAGATGATAGCACTGGAGGGTCAAACAAACAGCAGAGCTAGAAAAATGGGGAGGGGAACAGGAATACATAACCAAGGGTAAGGATGGAATTGCAGCAATCCTTCATCCTAAAATGAACTTAGCTTACCTCTAAAATACATCTGCTAGGTAGGAGCCTTTGCCTGGGATAACTTTTGTATGTAGAAAAGGTCTACCTAAGAACATTTTTGGTTTTGAATTCTTCTCCCAGGCAGCCTCGTAGGAAAAACCCACACCATATCAAGTGTTTTTCTGCAAAAAGCCATATGAATTCCACTTGCTCATATATTTATGAATTTATGGAACTAAGTCAGTGCAATCCAGCCAAGGATTGCCCTGATATGCAAACCAAATGATAGGAATATATGAGATACTGTGGGGCTTTTCCTCTCTAATGGGAAAACTGAAAATATCAAGCCAGACAATCTCACTATAAAGTGGAGAGGGCTAATTTTAAATCATATTATCCCTAAAGTTCCTGATTTTGCATTTGAAAAAAAAAGCTGACTTCTGTAATTCTCTACTCTTTTTATGGGACACAGGTTTAAGTTTGCTCAGGAAAAATGTAACTAGGCTCAAAGGTTCACTTTTAGCACTCATGCTCCTTGGCTATTTTGCCAAGTTGTTCAAGTACAGAAAGAGACTTACTACTGCATTTCTTAGTGCCTCAAAGGAACATTATGTCAACTACCAACAGAACACAACTAATAAAGGGTCTTCCTTATAACAGTGTTAGTATTTTCTTATGTAGTTGGGGTATTTTAATCCTCACCTTCTTTTCACCAGGGATTTCTTGAGCCTATTATCTTACAGTACATTTACTTATTCCTTTATGCACCCATATTAATATCTACTCTCACATATACAATTACACTCATTCTCCTTCCTATTGGCAGAAGAAAAAGCAGCTGGCAAAGTCAGTAGCTACCACAACAGCAGAGCTGAACCCTGGCATGAGCAGTTTTAGAGGGGAAACTACAGATGCAAGTTAGCAGGTCTGGACACGCCTAACAAGCCAATCCCTAACGCTGAGGAGGTCCCTACTAAAGAGATAAAAGAACAGGAAAGAAGTAAATTTGCCCAACGTCATTAAATCATTACTTTCATACATCATTATGAGCTGTAAAGCAGTCTGTAATTACATTTCAGTGCTGTCATTACTATACTCCAATATTCCAACAGTCTTCAGTAGAAAATAATTAAGTACTAGCCATCAATTACATATTAAAAAAAAAGTGAAGGAGAGTCAGGAGCAACTGAAAGATGACAATTATATTACTCCATGAACTTTCTGAAATATTTCAGATACTGTTTTCAAGCAAAACCCTTTAAATAAATAATTACCTACTTAGTATTTGTTATGAGAAAAACTGGAAAAATATTTCTTTCTAAGATTAAGAAAGAAATCATCCTTAAGCTTTTTTTTTTTTTTTTTAGAGGGGAGAGAAGAAAAGGCACATACTTCAGGAATTATTAATAAGAGAGATATCACTCCCTGTAGAAGAAAACAGATATTAAAAGTTGTTTCACCACAATGAATCCTATGTCTGGCATAAGTAAAACATTTTCTTTAATATCAGTCTACTAAAGAAAATCAAATGTTTGTGCCAGGTCTCTGAGTTTTGTAAGGCCTGCTTACTTGGTGAAAAGAGCCTGTTACCATGGTTACAGCCATAAAAACTTAAGCCTCAGTGAGATATTAACATTCCTCACTCTTGGAAAGAAAAAGGTTTCCTTTTTTTAGGCAAGTGACCCTTTCTTTTTTTCTAGGTTCCCCCCCTTTCTTTTACATGTTAGAAAAGAATCAGAAATAAATCCTAATCTTGTGTAAATAGTTGAAGATGTGAAGCCTGACTAGTACATTGTTTCTGTACTAAAGCGTCCTCTTTTAAAGGAAAGACTCCTTACAGTTGTAACTAGTCCTTAACATAATAAAAGTAAATCACCGAAAGCAAACAAATACTGTGGTTTTCAAGTAACCTGCTCCTAAAAGGTAACAACCATGAAGAAAAGATGTCCTCATTTTAATGGTGACCTGAGAGTGACTTCCACATGAATAAGCTTGGGTTTCTTTTTTTAAAAAGAACTAGGCATTTCATACTATTATTTAAAACAATGTTCACAGCTGCATCCCCCACCCCTGATTTATTATAGATTTGTTCAGGTTTCAGCTATCACAACACTGACAAATGCAATTATTATTTTTTTTTAATTAATCTGACATTTCTCTAATGGCACAAAATACTCCTTTTAGTTCACAACTTGAACTTAGTTTTAGTTTCAGTTCCTAAACTGCAAACGTGAACTGACTTCAGAATTTTAATATAAATTATTGTCAAAATATTGCACCCATGTGTTCTTGCAAAAAAAACCCATAGTTTACACACATGATTAATAAAGTACTCTTAGGAACAAGACTTTATACATAGGAAAGTTGGTTAGTAGTATTTTTGTTAATAGCATCTTGTTATATATTTTCCATTGTTATAGAGTATTTTCTGAGTATCATAATTAACCACCTCTGATATTATTATTTAACTTTTCCTGAGAAATCACAACCTACTTTGCTTCTAGATCAACAACTACTAAAAGAAGTAAGAATTGAAAGAAGATTGATCACCAAATAATTGAGGGAGGAGAAAAGAAGGACAGATAAATTTCCAGGAAAACAAACAATTCTTGATATTGCTCAACTCCAGTTTTTTTCAGTTGCCCAGAAGAGAAAAATTCCCTCTACAACCCTTGCCTGTCTTCTGTCATCTCCAGCTCAATAATGCTAATATTTCAAGTTGCACTGTCAAAACAACAACAGTTCATGCTAGAGGTAGTAATACTAAAAATATTTACAACAACAGTTCTACTATGTCACCTCAGTATTGCTAGGTCTGACAAGAGTTTAAAAAGCAGCTTTAAAGTAGTCTATAGTTAAAAGAAATGCCAGTAAACAAAGCCAGGGGCCTATACCAAGTTGCAGATTAATTCAGTGCACATATTTATTTGTGTGTTTCAACAAGGGGATAAAAATTAAGCCTTCTGAAAGAGAATTGGGCTTTTTCACAATCAGACCATTTTATAGAGACTGTAATAAGCTTAGGTTTCTTTGTTACAACAGGATGTTTTGTTAAAAACCAGGAAATCGATCAGATTTTGTGTTACAGTGTTTCCAGTGCACCTTAAGTTAGATAACTCGAAGACACGAATTTGGAACCAGTTTTATATCCATTCCTACCCATCTACTCTCTGTTACAAAATCTAGAATGACAGAAACATTAATTATACAGCTCCCATATAAAATGTTAGCACACTGTTCTGCTTGCTTTGTCCTGCTGTTGTTCCCCTTCAGAACACAGACATTCAACACCAGCTTCCGCAGAGCACAATATACTTTAGTATCTATTTACATTTAAGCAAGGTTGTCTGCTAAAATCCATTTTAAAAAAAGCAAAAGAAAAACTGTTACATACATGTTTGTTATCTTCTCCAGTAGGGCAGTGTAATTCATGTAAGGATGTCAATCAATAGGGAATCACATCACACACCTCTCTGGTAGCTCACTACACACATTGTTTCACCCCTTGTGTAAACAGGAATTTAGTGAGAGCTTTTAGCTCACATCAAAAGTTTTCTGATACTGGTGTTTTGATCTGATCAACAACAGGAATATAAAAAAGGTGTCTTGTTCTATTTCAGAGTCTATAACACTGAAAAATATGCATTTACTTTTTCAATCATTAGGCACAAAATATAGTATTTTTTTTCGCTTTAAAACCCATCTCCAGAAGATAAATCAGGTATCAGAAAGGCACATTAAAGTTGTAAGCATTAACAATGTTGCATATACTACAATTAAAAAAAATACTTTGCAGAGTTGAGCACAAGCATTATGCCAAGTTCTTCTTTCCTGGATGTATAAAGAAATACTACAGTGCCAGAACCAACCAGGCCTAATTCTAAATTGGAATGAGTTTTTGAACAGTGAGCTGTGGAAAACAATGTGTTTATTTTCCAATGCAATGCAAGTGGCTACAAGACACTTTTCAAACTGAGAAACAGAAGATGTTTGTGATGAAAACTTAACTCCCCAAAAAATCACTGTTAAGCTACATACCACCTCGAGGTTGAGATGAATCATTACTACCAATGATTACTGGAACACCAGCATCTTCCAGCTTGATCTTCCATTTCTCAATTATTGCAGATGAACCATCCTAGAAAAATGATGACAGACACAGCTGTTGTACCTCCTTTGCTGAACCACAGCCCAAGCCAAAAATTCCTATCAGAGACACTATTTACTTGGACAGCAATTAAAATAAGCTCTGAAACATACCTTACTAGCATCATTAAAAACTGACAGCTCCATGGTTCCTTCAAAATCTTGTTCCCAAACTGACTTCAAGCATTCATCTAACCAGCATTCGCTGTTGTGAACAGGCACAATGACAGACTACAAAAAAAACCAAAACAAAAATCCAGTTGTATGTCAGTAAGCACTAATCTATTTGTTTACTTGAAGAATAAGGATATTGATTAAGAGGGGAAGTGGTAAATCCTTTTGAAACTTTGACCAAAAAATGCACCTTAAAAACATAAAAGTAGGCCAAGTTCCTTTATTTTCATTACAAATACATTATTTGCTTTCTTCTCTATCAAGTTTTTTTTTATTTCTACAAGATGGCTTTTGGCAGATCTCCAAGGAAACAAGAGAGACCACTGAACCAGTAATGCTAACAGAACATCTAACCTGTTACTAGTATTCCTGCATTTCTTAGGACACTCTTTACTCCCATCTTCCATTAATACCTCTTACTCATCCACTTTTCTTTAAGCTTACTGCATAATTGGAGATGATCACATATGCAGCCTGTACCCTTGGGCTCTAGCCAAGTTTTAAAAAATTATTCTATCTAAAATTGCGATTAAGCACACTAAGATGACATATGATACAGTTCCCCAGTCTACCATTTCAATTGCAGGCTTTCCTCTTACAGCTTCTGTTGTTTCAGCCACATAGATGCAAATCATGACAATCCATATGAAACATTTTTAAACTGGTTAGAAACCAGAGACAAGGGATTTCTCTGTTCAATTAATCACCATTGTTCTAACTACCCCCAAAAGCTAACAATCTCTCCAAATTCTTGCAGTATCTCAAAAATGAATACATCCCATCCAGAGAATGCAAGTCCTAAGAAAGTAGCACAGTAAGACACTGGTGATGTTGGTGAAGAGAGAGCCCAGACTGGTACCTGTTAAGGTCACTAAGGCAAAGAGCATAAGTAACATGTCGAAGTCTCATGGGACAGTTTAAGAAGTTCCTAGAAACAGAATTTAAACTCCTTATTGTGTGTTGCAACTGGAAAGGTACAGCTTGAAAAAACAGAGTAGTTCCTATAGTAAGGATGTGGGAATCTTAACCAACAAAACCCAAGATGGTTAGTGACATTGAACTCTTCGAGATTTAGTGACATGTGAGTACATGTACATTGTGCAAATACATGCAAATGCATCCAGTAGTAGCCAGACATACTTTGTGAAAACTGAGAAGTGTATGTTTTTGTTTGTTTTTACCAAGTATGATGTCCCTACACACAGGAATTGCAGTTTGATATACAATGCAATAATTAACAAGAAACTTAACATTGCACAGCAAGATAAAAAAGAACCTATTATCATCTAAAAGAAATTAACATCCCACTTTTTGGCAGGATGCTGTAACAGATGAGAGGTGTATTTAAAAGAAGCTATGAAAAATTTTAAGCAAAGCAGGATTTTCACCATTGTTTTAGAGGGATAAATTAGTAAAATAAGGAGAAACAAAAAAAACAACAGGTATATCACTGCTGACAAACCGTAATGTCTCCAGGGACGGCACCACCAACCTTGCTAAGGCAATCTCAAAAAGCAGGCAAAGGTAGACCTGGAGCACAGCTTTCCCAATGGCTGAAGTCCTTTTGCTGCAGTTGATGCCAACTACTACTTCCCAATGCCTGCACATATTGTCATAGAATCATAGAATAGTAGGGGTTGGAAGGGACCTCTGCAGATCAACCCCCCTGCTGCAGCAGGAACACCCAGAGCACATCACACAGGAACGTGGCCAGGGGGGTTGGAATGTCTCCAGAGAAGGAGACTCCACAGCCTCTCTGGGCAGCCTGGCCCAGGGCTCTGGCACTCTCACAGCAAAGAAGTTTCTCCTCATGTTGAGGTGGAACTTACTCTTCTAGTTCTTTTTGCAGCAGCCTTCCATACTTTTGAAGACTGTTACCATAACAGTGAACTGCAGAAACACACAGAATGCTCTATCAAAGTAATTTTGAATCAACATGGGGACATGAATTGCATACAACTAGTGGACTTTTGTCATTACAAGATCAGCTGAGTAACAACTGAGTCAATTACAATTTCACTAGGTGAAACTGACTTGTACCAGAATCCAACAGAGGAGCCTTTTCATGGCCTATAAACCAAATACAATGGTTAAAAATACCAACTATGAATCAGATCTGGATTTGAGAACTGTGACTCTACCTGGTTTTCCCTAAACTTCACACATTCTAGAGTAAGACCTGAAGCAGTTTTTGGTATTTTTAGTAACATAGTTTTGCCATCACTAAGCTGAAGATAATGATTCTTGGCTTTGCTGCAAAATTATAATGTTCATGTATGGTGAAAATGACAGAATGTGAAATGGTTACCAGGTACTTCAACCCCCTTTCTTCTACAAATGTATTACTGAACCAAAACCACTCCTTTCTTCCCTCAGCTGGAAAACAACACACCACCCCTAAGATTGAAGTGCACAAATGTGAGGCTAGAAAAAGTTACAAAAACTGTGCAACAGAAAAAAGGAGAATTCTCTTATTTATGGCATTACAACCACCATCCTCCACTGAGAATATATATGATAAACAACTCCAAAAGAATGTTAATTTCAGTTTCTACACAATTCAAGTTAGCTGCTACCTGCCTTCACATCCTAACGTGGAAAATAGATGTAAACATAATTTTAGCAAGAGCAAAGTCAGAATGCAAGTCAGAAACTGTTATTTATAAATGAAATTCTCATGAACCACAAACCATTCAGAAGCTGATGGCAGAACATACTAGTTTTGTCAGATCTTGCATATGAGACACTTTAAATAACCCCGAAAAGGTTTTTCAGGCCACAAACTTTGACTTGTCCTTAGGAGACACTGAAGTTGTCAATAACTTTCCCCTGGCCACCGACCTGTGCGGTTTTGCTCTGGGGACACCTGCCTCGCTGTACCTAAATTAATAATAATTTAAAACTGGTTTTTTGGAACGCGAGGTAACCAAAACACGCCAGGCTGGAAGGGCAACCCTGCTGAGACCCCCCAGCCCCCCGGGCCGAGGCACAGGGAGCCGGGCCTGGCCCGGCCTCAGGCCCGCGCACACTGACACACTCACACTCACACACACGTACCACCTGGGCAGGGCTGCGGGACGCGGCG